GTTTTTTTTTTTTTTTTTAATTTTTTTTTTTTAACGTTTATTTATTTTTGAGACAGAGCATGAACAGGGGAGGGACAGAGAGAGAGGGAGACACAGAATCGGAAGCAGGCTCCAGGCTCTGAGCCATCAGCCCAGAGCCTGACGCGGGGCTTGAACTCATGGACCGTGAGATCGTGACCTGAGCTGAAGTCGGACGCTTAACCGACTGAGCCACCTAGGCCCCCCGGCAGTGGTTTCTTAAATACACTGAACACCTCATCAGGGGTTGGCAGGACCAGTGAGAAGAGCAGCTGTGCCTTTTTTTTTTTTTTTTTTAACATTTGAGAGACCAAGTGTGAGTGGGGTCAGGGCAGAGAGAGACAGGGAGACACAGAATCTGAAGCAGGCTCCAGGCTCCGAGCTGTCAGCACAGAGCCTGATGTGGGGCTTGAACTCATGAACCGTGAGATCATGATCTGAGCCTAAGTCGGATGCTTAACTGACTGAGCCACCCAGGTGCCCCGCAGCTGTGCCCTTTTAAGGTTCAGCTGCACTGTGTTGTTGGCTCCGGCCCCACCACTTCCCCGACTAAAAGAATTTGAGCTTCTGACCTCAGAGCTGATGGAATAAGGGAGATCCTCGCATTTTGATTATAACAGAAAAGACACCTCAGAAGATACTGACCTTTCCCCTTAGGTGCAAGATCTTGGTGGAGACCCGTCAGTTTTCACATTAGCTGGCCCTTCATGTAGCCGTCAGGGTATCATGGTCCCTCTTAGGTCCCTCCTCGCCTCCGTGGTGCCTGCATCATGGCCTCTGTGCTGTTCTATTGCTGAAGTAACAGGTGTTCATTTTAGAAAGTCAGAACACAGATTTTTCGGAAAGGGGGAGAGAGTCACCTGTCGTCCCAGGAGCCGAGAAGGAAACGTGGTTTGTCTGGTGCGCAAATATGTACACTTCATACGTTTATGTAGTTTTTAAACGGAATCAGAGGCTTTTGAAACTAGAGCTTTCCACATGACCTCTTTCCACTAAAATCTATCACATAAATACATACATATATTCCTAAGTATATATTTTCACAAAAATGTAAAGTAATTTAAATGATTATGTAGTAGTCTGTCCTGCAGTGTTTCCCAAAACTGATTCCATCAGCCCTCTTTGTTTTGTACTTGTAGGTAGTTCACAGGGTTTGTTGGTGTTACAAGTAACTCTTGTGACCGTCCTTGCTCACAACTCTGGGGACTCATCCTTAAGGAGCACTCAGGAAGAGCAGCTCAGGGACAGCCCGGGACACGTACGTGGCCAGGCTGCTCCCGGAGGCATCTTCCACAGCCCACGAGCCTCCTCGCTTCCTCCTACTCTCTCTTCACAGTGCACAATACCTCGAGGAACTCCAGTTTATTTTGTCATTAACAGCGTAGCTGTCTTTCCACGCATCACTAACCATTTACTCACTAACCATTTACCTTGTGTTGTAGCAACTTCTGCAAGTCTGTCTTTGTTGTTTGATACTAAGTATTCTGTATATATTGCGGATTATTAACCATTTGTTAATGATGTTTAGAGTGGAATTGAGCCCATTTTGGATTGCATCAAAGTGGGTTTATATCTTAATCTGTCGGACAGCGAGGCCTGTGTAATGAACATGAGCTGTTGAGTATAGTATTACCTACACAGTAGGGCTCTGTTTAGCATAGTTACACAATAGAAATTGTTTATGTTGCTTATACATGAAAAATATCAAGAGGAAAGTTTGAAAATTATGCTACGGTTTGTCCTATCCAATTAGCTTCGTTTATGGAGTAATCCATTGTTTGTGTTAAGAAAATGAGCTGCTTAAGGGCACCTTGGGTGGCTCGGTTGATTAAGTGTCCAACTCTTGATTTTTGGCTCAGTTCAGGATCTCATGGTCGTGGGGTTGAGCCCTGAGGCGGGCTCTGCTCTTAGCGTGGAACCTGCTTAGAATTCTGTCTTCCTCTCGCTCTGTTCCTCCCCTGCTTGTGTGCTCATGCATGCGTGCTCATGCTCGCTCTCTCAAAATTTAAAAAGAAAATGAGCTACTTAAAATGATTTAAGTTCAATTTGGTTGATTCAAAGCTTGATTGTTTAATGATTAAAAAAAATTTTTTTTAACGTTTATTTATTTTTGAGAGACAGAGACACACGAGCAGGGGAAGGGCAGAGAGAGCGGGAGACACAGAATCTGAAGCAGGCCCCGGGGTGTCAGCACAGAGCCCGACACAGGGTTCTAAGTCACAAACTGCAAGATCGTGACCTGAGCCGAAGTGGGACGCTCAACCGACTGAGCCACCCAGGCGCCCCTAATTAAATGATTTTCAGGATTAAAAATGACCTCTTAAAGTGTATTTATCGAAATTGAGTCTTTTATCCGCCTTACCTGAATATGCAGTTTTCAAAAACTCTGCCCTCTGGACAGTTGATTGCTTGTCGGAGGAGCCGCTGGGGCAATTTTCTTAGGAAAATTTACCTTCAAGAAAGTGAATGTTAAATCTTTTAGTTCAAAAATCATGCTATTAGAGTTCAAGATTTACTATAATTTTAAGAGCCTTTTACTAAAAGTATATTCAGTTCTTTATTTCTTGTGGTTGGAATGTTTGTCACTCATTTGGTCTCTTTTTAGGAAAACACTGGTGGAAATTCCAGACGTGTGTAATTTGCACGTTGTTCTTCTAGCCTGGTTAGCGAATGCACAGCAATTGGGCTACTACGTACACTCGCTGTAAGATCTTAATGATCCGTTTCTCCTCCGTGTACTAGCTTGCGTCGAGAGGGACCGGGTTGTCCACAGTCCCGATCGATGGGCACCAGGTACCAGTGCGTGCAGACCCTGGCCTGCTGCGGAGCGAGCCGGGGAGCACCTGCCGCCGTCACCGCTGTGTGACCGCGGCGGAGCGGTTTCCCGTGCGACCCTGAGCGGACGCCGCTGGCGCCTCTTTTTCTTGCAGCGAGAATTCCCGACTGGCCGCCGAAGTTTACAAAGACATGCCCGAGACCAGCTTCACTCGCACGATCTCCAACCCCGAGGTGGTCATGAAGCGCCGGCGGCAGCAGAAGCTGGAGAGGCGGATGCAGGAGTTCCGGAGCTCGGACGGGCGGCCGGACTCAGGTGCGCGTGCGCGGGGGGGGGGGGGGGGGGCCTCCTTCCGAGCCGTGTGCGCCTGCGCGGGGCGGGGCCGCCGCGTCCGCCCCGGGTCTCTCTGCTCCGCCTCGGGCGGTCAGCGATGGGTCCGGTTAGGCCCTCCTCCCCGGTGCAGCTCTTGTTTTAAATTCTTGGGTTCTGGAAACTTTCGAGTATGTACAACACAAGAGAGAGATGCAGCGAACCCCCCGTGGGCCTGTTACCCGGCCTCCGCCCTCGACCGCCCCGGCCTCCTCTCTGCTCCCACATCGGCGCCGCTTCGCAGATTTCTCGGTATTTCATCCTCTGTGTCCGTGCACTTTCCCGAAGGTGAAGGTTCCTGGGAAATAGAAAGGAACCACGGCACTGTTGTCCCTTACCGAAGCCTTGAGGGCAAGTCCCCCAGGGCCTCAGACTGTCTGGTCGTCGTTGGGTTCTTCCTGACAGCCTCCGATGATCCCTCCCTGGCGTGGGATCCAGATAGCACCTGCAGGTGGCACCTGGTCGGGCTGGCCGTTCCTTCTGCGATTCCCTTTCCTCTTGTCTGCCCTCCTGCTTCTCGTCCTTACTGGTGTGCGGTGGAGACCCGGGTTATTTGTCTTGGGGATTTTGCCGACTGCATCCAGGTTTACCCTGGTTTTCCTCCGGCTCTGGTTCCTTGGTTAGGGGAGGAGGTGGGGTAGGTTTTTGGGGGGAGAGGGAGCGGGCAGAAATACCTCCCGTATCAGCATCCACAGGTGAGCAGTGGTTGTGAGCTTTTTAACGAATTCGTGGAGTTAAAAGTTGTCAGTGTCTTTCCGTCTGTTGCAGTTACTGTCCTTACTGGTTCTTGAATTGTCACTTTGAGACAGCAAGGGTCTCTTCCACCTGGCACCTGAGGCTTTGACGTGTCCTCGGTGGTCTTGGGGAGTCTCCCTGCGTGACAGGACACCGAGGCTCACCTTGGGAACGTGCTGCCCCAGACTAGGAAGGTGGCTGTTTCTCTTACAAATGCTCGCTCTTTCTGGTTGCTCGGAGAGCTCCCTGGTGCTGCTTAGTGTTTGCTCGCCCCCCTCTTCAGTGGACAGAGCTAGCTGACTTCTAGTATGTGTTTCTTACTGCTTCGGTTTCAGGCAATCTAGCCTTTCTTAGGATAAATTCTCCCCACCTGACACCAATAATGTCTAATTGTTTTATTTTGACATTACGATTTATTCCAGGAAAAAGCAACGTGATACTGTTATTAGCAACAGTGTGATTGTGAAAAAATTTGAAGCTTCTTAGGAAACTTGCTTGTGAGTGTATCTTGTAAGGTGATATTGTCAAATAACTAACTAGTTTGGGTAAATATCTATCTACTGTGTGATTGCTAGATCATAGGGAAGTTCTGTTTTTAACTTTTTTTTTATTTTTTAGAGCGAGAGACACACAGGGTGTAAGCCAGGGAAGGGCAGAGGGAGACAGAATCCGAAGCAGGCTCCAGGCTCCGAGCTGTCAGCACAGAGTCTGACGTGGGGCTCAAACTCATGAACCACGAGATCATGACCTGAGCCAAAGTTGGACGCTTAACCAGGCGCCCCTACTTTTAACTTCTTAAGGAACCCGCATAGTTTCCCAGAGTGGCTGCAGCAGTTTGCATTCCCACCAACAGTGCGTGCTTAAGGGTCCCTCTTTCTCCCCATCCTCGCCAATACCTGTTGTTTCTTGGGTTATTAATTTTAGTCATCCTGACAGGTGTGAGATGGTATCTCATCATGGTTTTGATCTGTGTTTCCCTGGTGATGAGTGATGTTGAGCATCTTTTCCTGTGTCAGCCATCTGGATATCTTCTTTGGAAGATAAAAAAACAACACCACAGCTATTTGAAGGGGCACATCCCCCCCAGTGTTTCTAGCAGCACTGTCAACAACAGCCAAACTATGGAAAGAGCCCACATGTCTGCTGACCGATGAGTGGATAAAGAAAATGTAGCGTGTATATATACAGGGGAATGTTATTCGGTGATGAGAAAGAATGAAATCTTGCCGTTTGCAACAACATGGGTGGAACTGGAGGGTATTATGCTAAGCGAGATAAGTCCGAGAAAGCCCAATACCGTATGATTTCACTCGTGGAATTTAAGAACAAAACAGATGAACGTATGGGAAGGGAAGAAGAGAAAGAGGGAGGCAAACCCTAAGAGACTCTTAAGGATAGAGAAACCGAGGCAAGTGGGTGGGGGATGGGCACTGAGGAGGGCACTTGTTGGGATGAGCACTGGGTGTTGCATGTAAGTGATGAAGCACTAAATTCTACCTCTGAAGCCAGTGTTACCAAATATGTTAACTAACTAGAATTTAAATAATCTGAAAAGAGAAAAAATTACTGTGTTTGGAAATTACCTATTTGATTCCTCTCCATATTGACTTACATTTTATTTTGTTTCTGATTTTAGAGGTTTGCTTCTTAAAAATGTAATGTGCTTTAATAATTCCTAAGGCAGATGTACCCAGCATGGTGTGTGTGTGTGTATGTATTTTATTTTTTAATTTTTTCTTTTAACATTTATTATTGAGAGAGACAGAGCACGAGCAGGGGAGGGGCAGAGAGAGAGAGGGAGATACAGAATCCAAAGCAGGCTCCAGGCTCCGAGCTGTCAGCACAGAGCCCGACGTGGGGCTCAAACTCGCGAACCGTGAGATCATGACCTGAGCTGAAGTTGGACGCTCAACCGACTGAGCCAGCCAGGCGCCCCTCAGAGAGCTTTTAACTCCGCCTAGGCTTCAAATTGGAGTGGTGACTGTGGGAGCAGAGTAGAAGTTGGATCTGAGGGAGTCGCGTTGGAAGTGGGCGCCTGCTGTTCGCGGGGGACCCGTCTCTGAGCGCGGCCACTGAGAGGGAAGGGGTGCACCAGGTTCCTAAGAGGCGGAGTTATCAGACCCAGAGCAGACTGGATTCTACTTGGGAGGGGAGGCATTCTGGATAACGCCCGTTTTCCTGGGATGGGTGTTGCTGCTCTGGAACGAGAGGACATTTGTGAGCGGAAGATAGGTTTTGCTGAGGTGCCGGTGTGATTGGGGGCTGTTTTGAGCTGGAAGGGCAGTGTGTCTAGACCAGGCACTGGGCAGCAGTGTCCCATAGAGGGAGAGAGTTGGGGAGTAATTTATGGTTGCCAGGTAATGTCACTGGGCGTGGGTGAGATTCTTTTTTGTAGAAAGTATGTAGGTAATGGGAAGACTTAAGAGAAGGCTGCTGTTAAGAGGACTGGGCAGTGAAAGGAGAAAACGAAGCAAAACAGTCTCCAAGGAATTAGGAAAACTAGCAGAACATCTAAGAAGTAGAGCTTTAGAGGGATGGGGGTAGAAGGAATAGTTTTCTATCCAGACTTCCAGGAGACACTGAAAACCTAAATATTGTTAGCAAAATAGCTGTGGTTAATATTAACCAGTCAAATATATTAAGTTCAGCTATTTTGTTTGTCTTTAATAAATGACTTAGAAAAATATGTTCTCAGGACACCTGGGTGGCTTATTGGCTAAGCGTCTGGCTTAGGTCATGATCTCAAGGTTTGTGGGATCAAGCCGCACATTGGGCTCAGTGCCGAATATGGAGACTGCTTGAGATTCTCTCTCCCTCTGCTCCTTTGCCTGGCTTGCACTCTGTCTTAAAAAAAATTATAATAAAATGAAGTAGAATTGACAAACAGCATTGTTAGTTTCAGGTATACACTGTGATGATTCAACCCTTATATACACTGCAAAGTGATTACATAATGTGACTAGTCACGGGGGGCGGGGTGCTTAGTTGGTTAAACATCTGAGTTTTGATTTCAGCTTAGGTCATGATCTCATGGTTTGTGGGGTCGAGCCCCACCTGGAGTTCTGTGCTGACAGTGTGGAACCTGCTGGGGATATTTTCTCTCTCTCTTTCTCTTCCTCTCCCCTGCTTGCGCACACTCTGTCAAAATAAACTTAAAAAAAAACAAAAATGTATTCTCGTAACCTGTCCTGTCGGTAGAAGCCGTGGGATGTGGTCACGTGCGGGTGAGTGTAACGAGAGTGACCGCTCAGTCTATTACTTCCCTGTCTTGTCAGCCCTCGGTTGACAGTTTGCCCCCTCGGTTCTGATGACTGAACTCCCTTCACGGCCCATCGGACTTGGCCCGTAGGAAGCTTCCCCCCTGGGCTTTGTAAAGCACGGTTAAGCACTCAGGCGCGCTCTGTGGTGTCCTCCGAGGAGCTGGCCCGGAAGCGTCCCGTACGTCTCAGGTAGCTGATGCGTGGCACAGGGCACGAGCACCAGTTACAGCCACGGATTTCTTACTGCGACACCGTCGGCGACCGTGTGGGAATTCTCCTGCCTCGGCGTCCTCACGACCCGTGTTGGGAGTGCCAGCTGTGACTGGGGTCCTGGAGAGGCGCGGGCCTCCGTGTGTTCGTCTCCAGTCCTGCCTTCATCAGAGACCGAAACGTACATTGATGCAAATGGGTTTTAGTCCATTATACTGAGCTGCTCCACTCCTCCTCCTCAGCACGGAGGGTGGTGCCTGCCTCTGTGACAAAGACACCGTGGTGTGGTGTTAGGCTTATAAACCGGAAACTGTTTGAATTAGACCCTCTCAACACTCAGTACACTGAAACCAAGTTAGATGTAGATGGATAAACGGATGCCAAAAGTAACCCATCCAGTAGTGAAATTTGGCCACGTGAGCCTGAGTTTTCCAGCCGCCTCATCGTGGCGTGTCCCTTAGAAGAAATGCTGCTCGAAATTGTGTATCTGTAGGAGCCCTACTGAGTCTTGATGATGGTTTTCTGGGAAGCCCCGACCTTAAGTTTTTTCAGACAAAAAGTGTTTGATTCTCTGCAGTCTGTACCTTGGGCTTGCAAAGTACTTGTCTAGACTTCAAGCAGATGCCACATTTTTCAGAAAAACTAGATTTCTGACCACTTGCATGTTTTGGTAGCCTCCTAAGGGAGGGCACAAGGCCCCCTCATCAGCTTTCAGAACAGGCGTTCTGGTTTGCTCCTTGGTTGTCTGACGGGCACAGTACGGACAGGTTGCCTGTGTCTGCAAAATGGTTCTTACTCGTTCTCTTGTACGTGTTTTCCTTATAAATTACCCCGAATGTGCCATTGGCAGCAGGGCACGATGAAGTCAGAAGGGAGCACCTTGGGCTAGTGGAGCACACGCTTTAACGGCTGGCCTCCCTGCTGGGACGGCGTCCCCCTCTGCGGCTCTGCTTCAGCCCGAAGCCCGGCCGCTTAGGAGAGCACCGGTGGCATTGTGCCCGCCTCCCGACGTGGCACGGGCACACGTGCAACTGAGGCCTTCCGGTGGCCCCCACTTCAGCTAGAGTAAAACCCAGGCCCTCGCGATCGTGGTTTGCGAAGTCCCACGTGGTCTGGCCTCGGTCAGCCTGACTGCATTTTCCCTGCCTTCCCTTGGGTGCATCTCTGGCCAGTGAGCCTTCTGGACCTGTGCCAGCTGAAGGCCTTAGCACCTGCTCGCCCCCTGCCCAGAGAGCTCCTCAGGTGGCCGCGAGGTCGCCGCCGCTGACCATCCAGGGCTCATGGCAGGTGTCCATCTTCGAGAAGGCTTAACAGTCCCACGAGGTTAGGAAGCTCTTGGTTACGGTCTTTCTTACCACCGTGCTTGTGTTTTTCACAACGCGTGCCGCCATCTTAGGTTTTCTTGTCGCTCTTTCCCCCCACCCCCTGCACCCCACACCTAGAGTAGAAGCTCTTTGAAGGCCAGGACACTGGACTGTTCATGGCTGCGTCCTCAGCATCGGAACACGGGCCTCTCTGAGTTGGCGTGTGCTAAATCGTTGACAGGCAGCACTGTCGGAACATCGTGGAGTTTCTTCCTTTTCTCATCTTTGAACCATGGTGAAAACGGGTTCATCGTTATGAGAACTACTTGGGCTTGAAGAGGGAACAGGATCCGTTCTGTCGCACAGGACTAGTCAGCATACGGTGCTACTGGATCAGCAGCTGACTGTTGACGTGTGTTGTCTAACAGGAAATGAGTATGGAATTAGGAACACAGATTTCATCGTTGCATTCGTTACAACCGGAACTTAGATGCCCTTTTTTAAAGTGATCATAAACGTTAGCTGTCTCGGTTACTGGGATAAAATAAAGGAGTGCTCAAGGATGTCTGAACGTTTTTTTTCAGGTGGAACACTGAGAATTTACGCAGATAGCTTAAAACCGAACATTCCCTACAAGACAATCCTGCTGTCCACCACGGATCCTGCTGACTTTGCTGTGGCCGAGGCTCTAGAGAAATACGGTCTGGAGAAGGAGAACCCTAAAGATTACTGCATCGCCCGGGTAAGTGACTACCCAGCCAGAACTTACCGGTGCTACATATGCCGGCACTTCTCGTTCAAGTGGCAAGATAGCCTTTGAGTGAACTTCAGTGTAGGCTGGTTTTCTTCACACTGTATCATTTAAAATGTAATACGTGGAAACCCTGTGTTAAATCCCCCTTCTGTTACAGAAGTAATACATGTTCTTATTATAAGAAAAAGTGTAAAAAGGTGAAGACAATAAAATCACCCATAGTTCTAATACCAAAGGATAACCACTGTCCACGCTTTTATATACACATATCTTTAGTTCTTATTTTGTGTACATAGGTGACTTCGTGTTTTTTCACGATGTCGTCTTAAGGTTTTCACTGAGATACCTCGTGACGGTCCCACTCTTAAGTGGACTCCAGTTTGCTGTTCTAACGAGCGTTTGGTCGGTGTGTTTAGTAGCCGGACTGTCTTGGAGATAAAGCCTGCATCTCTCACCCTGGTACTCAGAGACCATGAGATGCTTTTCCTCACAGCTGAGTGGCTGACACTAAGTGAGATCAAGCAGGTTTTCTCTCCTGAGGCAGACTGCTTGGAAAGTTCTTAACCCTTGAGTCAGTCACGAGGAAATGCTGACTTCTTCATTACCGGGATTTCTCTGGCAAAATCGCCTCCTGGCAGTGGATTTTCAGAAGAAATAAATCCCTCCCTTTCCCCATCTTAGCAGTTGATTACGAAACCGTGATGTATTACTTGCCCTAGTGCCCCCGCCGCACAAGATGACTGGGGAGTAAGTAGAGGCAGTAACCGTGCGCATTTAAAGTCTGCGGTGTCCCCAGTACCGGCCCCCCACCCCAGGAACACCCCTTCACCTTCGAAAGTCCCTTACCCCGTCTCCAGCCCAGATAGTGCTCTCTGTCGCTTAGTTTCGTGTACTAGAACTGCACATAAACGGTGTCGTGTAGCGAGCGGTCTTTCTGCCTGCTTTCCTCCACTGGGCACCGGGAGCTCGGGGTCGGCTGCGTGCTTGGGCATGTCTACACTGGCTTCCTTCCGGTTGCTGAGTAGTATTTCGTTATATGGATGGTTTGCGGTGCTTTCACCCGCTTACCTGCTGACGGACATTTGGGTTGTTCCCGGCGTTGGGTTTTGGGTGGTTACGGTCAGGCTGCTCTGAGCATGTGTGTGCAGGTGTCCTCACAGACCTGTTTTCTTAAGTAAATGCTGGGCGGCAGGTGTATGTGTAACTTTTTAGGAAACTTTGAAACTGTTTTCCAAAGCAATTAAATCACGTTGTGGTTGCTTTACTTCCTCATTTGTGTTTGATACTGTCAATTATTTTAAGAATTGACCATTCTGGGGCGCCCGGGGGGCTCTGTTGGTCGGGCGTCCGACTTCGGCTCGGGCCGTGATCTCGCGGTTCGTGGGTTCGAGCCCCGCGTCGGGCTCTGTGCTGATGGCTCGGAGGCTGAAGCCTGGAGCCCGCTTCGGATTCTGTGTCTCCCTCTCTCTCTGCCCCTGCCCCGCTCACGCTCTGTCTCTCAAAAGTAAATACTTTTGAGAGACAAAAAAAAGAATCAGCCTTTCTGATAGCGAATAATGGGATGTCCATGTGGCAAACGGTTTTAATTTCCCTCTTGATAGTTCTGTGTTAAGTCCTTTGTAGGATACATGTGTTGTGAATATTTTTTCCCCAGTCTGTGGCTTGGTTTGCCTTTTCATTTTTTTTTTTTCAACGTTTTTTATTTATTTTTGGGACAGAGAGAGACAGAGCATGAACGGGGGAGGGGCAGAGAGAGAGGGAGACACAGAATCGGAAACGGGCTCCAGGCCCTGAGCCATCAGCCCAGAGCCTGATGCGGGGCTCGAACTCAAGAACCGCGAGATCGCGACCTGGCTGAAGTCGGACGCTTAACCGACTGTGCCATCCAGGCGCCCCGCCTTTTCATTTTTTTAATGATGCCCTTTAGAGAATACTTTTTTTTTTTTTAAGCCTTCTATTATTTTTGTGTTCTCTGTAAGAATTTACCTCTTTTGAGGTTGCAAACAGTTTCCTCCTGAAGTTTTGTACTTTAGTTTTTACGTTTTGGTCTCTGTTCCATTTCAAGTTAGCGTCTATATGTTGGTGTGAGATCAGGGCAGGTGTTCATTTTTTCCGGTGCAGATAATTGGTTGACCCAGCACCATTTGTTAAAAGGACTTTCTTTTTTTTCCCCGTTGAGTGCTTTAACGTCTTTGCTGAAAATCAATTGGCCATATGTGTGTGTGGTTCTATTTCTGGAGTCTGTTAATCTGTGTTTTATCTTTTTGTGAACACACTGTATCGATAACTAGATTGATAATAAGTCTTAAAATCAGGTAAATAAGTCCCAATTTTGTTTTTGCTTTTATTTATTTTTTCTAATATTTATTTTTGAGAGACAGCACACATGTGCGTGAGTGGGGAGGGGCAGAGAGAGAGAGGGAGACACAGAATCTGAAGCAAGCTCCAGGCTCCCGGCTGTCAGCACGGAGCCCGACGCAGGGCTTGAACCCATGAGCTGTCAGATCATGACCTGAGCCAAAGCTGGATATTTAACAGACCGAGCCACCCAGGGGCCCCTGTTTTTGCTTTTAAAAATTGCTTCAGTTATTCTGTATTATTTATGTTTCTGAATAAATTTCAGAATCAGCTTGTCCATTTCTGCACAGAACCCGCTGGAGTTGTGACTGGGTTTGCATGGACTCTAGATAAGTCAGGGGACACCCTGTCCTCAGTCTCCAGTCTTCTAGGCTGCGGACAGAGTGCACCTCTGTGTGTGTGATCTCTGTGCTCCCAGTAGTATTTTGTAGTGCTCAGAGTAGAGGTCTCAGACCTCTTTTATTAGCTAGATTGAATTAAGTAAAAGAGTTTGTCGAGTTTTATGCCTTTTAATTTTGTTGAAAAGCTAAGAAGTTATATTCAGTTGGAAAAACTGTTTGGTAGATTTGTAGTTTGATAAATATAGTTGAATTGTCAGCTGAAAATAGATGAGAGAACAGGTTTTTTTTCCTGTTAAAATGACAACAAAGAAATAAAAACCTGTGTAAGTGCTCCAGAAAGAAGAGAATGAGAGGAGAGATGGCGGAAGATAGGGCTGTGAGTGAATTTCTGAAGAAGCAGGTGACAGGTGTCCTGCTCACTGGGCCGCAGAAAGCCTACGGAGAGAACCCGCCAGGGAGGAGCTTGCTAGTGCCCATGTCACGAGCCCACGCGGACCCAGGAATGAGTTGCTTTAGCACTTCCCGAGTCCACGTTGAAAGCGGAGCTAAATCATATTGAGTTGAAAGTTTCCAGAAGCAGTGGACCCCACCAGATTTCCTTCCCATTCCAACTGCTGTCTCTTGTCTCCGTGTGAAGGCTGTGGTCGACCTGATGGGGAGGAGGCCTTGTGTTTGGGGGTAACGGGCACACAGGGCACAGCAAGGGTCTTGACTGAAAGTTGGAGGGTGGAGCGGAAGCCTCTGCCCAGGATGCTGATGGCCAGAAGATTTAAGGACTTCTCCCAGAAGGCACTCTCTGGCCACGTGAGAAGGATGTGTATGCAAACTGACCTGTGGAAGCGCTGGTCCAGTAACCTCACTCAGGCCTCCTGGCAGGAATCCTCGTGCATACATACGTACGTACGGCCCTCGCCTTGAGCTCTCTCGTGACTCACTGTTGAACGTGAACGGATGGCCAAGGTTCAACAGACACTGAAACACCTTTGAGACGAAAGACCAACCCAAACAGGCAAAAGAACACAGATAAGACAGAAAGCAGACGGAAGTGTTCAAAAACCGAGAGACTCGGACAACAAGGAAGACCGTGTATCTGTGGAATAAGACCAAATAAGTCCTGTAAGAAGGGACACTCAGACCTTAGAAGTTTATAAATGTAAGCAAATAAGGGATAGGAGAAAAGTATCAGTAAAAGGGGTGAAAGATAAAGGTAAGGAAACATGCCAAGTGTAGAACAAAACGAAAAGATCAGAAAGTTAGATCTGCAGTAGAATACCTAACACTTACCTAAAGGAGGGTCAGATAGAGAAAGCAAGAGGACGTGGGGAGAGAGAGGTTACCAAAGAAATGTACTAGAATATCTCCCAGAACAGGAGGGTTTGAGTTGCTGGTTTGAAAAGGCCCACTGAATGATGGTACAGTTACTGAAAAAGATCCAAACCAGGGCATATTATTTTGAAATTGTAGAAAACTAGAGAAAAGAAAACAAGGATTCCAAGGAGAAAGATTCAAGTCGCATATAAAGGGGGGCAAGATTGCTGCCAGTCATTTCAGTAGTGGTCACGGAGCCTGGAATACATGTAGCTTTCTAATTCAGAGTGAAATGGTTTCCAGTCCAGATTGTCAAATGGTAGGTACATGGAACGAAGACCTTTCAAAACCCATAAGGCCAAATTTACCACCCATTCATCCTTTCTCAAAAAGGTACCGCAGGGTATTCTCCAGCAAGATGGGCGGAGTGGGCCAAGAAAGGGAAAGATCCAGCCAGGCTCCCAGAATAGAGTCCGGCACAGGAGGTCATCCCAGCATTGGTGGCGAAGGAGGGTCTGGAGGGCATCTGTGCAGTCGTCCTACAGAGCACCCACTTCAGAGTGGACGTAGCGTTTGAGATTGAGAATGGTGTTTATAAATAAGGTGATAAGTCTTACGGTCTGTCTACAACAAGGGGCTAGTGAATTCCCGAGTGTGTTTCTGTGAGGACTTGTTTTCATTCCCGTGTGTTACAGCAGGTAGTAAGAAGCAAACTCCGCACCCATCACTGAAGGGATGCCCATCCATACCATTGAATACCTGTGGCTGTGAAACATGATGAATTAAACCCGTCTTATAAAACACCCTTTATTTGGAAAAACAATTACCATAAAATAAAATGAAGCAACGTGAACCCCTGTGTGTGCATCATACACACATACCCCTGTGTGTATGACCATACAGCAAGGTGGATGCTGGGAAGGGTACGCTCCAGGTCACTACCCGCCGACGTGAGCGGAAGGGCAGGGAATGGAAGGCTTTGAAATACCACGTGTGATGCCGATGGGAGCCTCTTACGTGAGGTAGATGGGTGAAGATCATTGCCAAAGGTGTGGTCGTAAAAATCGTTCTCTCACAGTGGGGTTCGTTTCTTCCTTGGGCTTTTCTGTATTTCACTTTTCCATAGTGATCCTGCATGATTGGGAATGGGGACGAAACACCTCAAAGCTCGTGTCTCCGTGGGGTGGGGAAGATAGGTGACCACGAGCGTTTGGTGTTGACGTGCTCTTTTGTTTCTTTGGTCTTACTAGGGAAGAGTAAGAACTAGGATTGGTGAATTTGAAGGAGAAACCATGCTTCCAGACGTGCAAAAGTATATTTTATACTGGATTTCTGGCTATTAGCGTTCATAGATAGAGAAACTGTATCACGACCTGAAATTCCACCATACTTTGAGGAGGGGGGGTGCCTCGGGTCAGGTCAGGAGAGCAGGTAGCCAAGGTAATTGTGTATTCCCTCTGGAGGGAAAATCCTGAAGATCCAGGACATTCTGGTGCATTTTCTCCTGGTAGTGAAGTCTGAAGTAGAGGAGACCCTGCGGTAGTGCTGGGCCCTGGAGACCCTTGCCTTCCATTGAGGAGCACGTGGTGAGAACTGCTGTACCCACGGGAAGCACCTGATTGGGCCCACGGATAAGAATGGATTTGGATACGCGCTCCTTATACTTGGGGTCAGCAGCGGCTATAAACGGTGTTCCTGGTCAGAATAAAGTCAGTACATTGGTAGTGTAAGAGTCCTGCCCCTGCTACTCTGTGGTCACCCGGGGCAGGAGCTCGGTTACCGGGGCCTGACCTTGTGCTCCGTACTTGGGATTGCTTAAGTGTTTGCCAGGGGACCGTGGACCATTAAATATATATTCAGTTCCGCGTAAAGGTGCATTCGATATAATACATGGTAATGAACTTTATCATCTTTTCCCTTTCCTTCATTTCTGCTGTGCTTTTACGGATGAACTTCAGAAGTGTAAGGGCACCTTAATCAGGGTCATGAGGTTGTAAAAGCCTGCTTTGGGCTTGTAGTGACGGGCCTCTTTGAGGTCACTTGAATCTCTTTTGAGGGTCTCCTGCTTTGGGTTTTCTGTTCTATCACATCCTTACAAATTCTGCTTCGTAGGCAGTACGGAGGTGATTATCGTTTTAATCCTGTTTTCTTTCTTGGCTTGCCATCTTGCTAGCTTCGTGATCTGTAGCTCTTCCATACTCATCGTTGTTCTAGCTGTTTAATTATTCAACAAATATTTAACTTCCTCTTGTTGGATACTCTGCTAGGTTACAAAAACAACAGCTGTCTTTAAAGGAACTTACAGAGAAGCCAAGAATGAGAAAAGGAACATGGAGTGTTGAAATGAGAGCAATCAGGGAAGGCCTCCTGGAGGAGCTGTAGTTGAGCTAGACATGGCCAGTGGGTCACCGGCCTTCAGGCCCAAGAAATCGCGGAAGTATGGAGTTCATGGCCTACTCTGAGAGCTCTGAGTAGTTCTACGTGCCCGGATCTACCAGGGTGTGTGACAAAGATCGGGACGCAAAAGAGGAGTGAAGGTCAGGTCCTGAACTGTGTGTTCTAAGCCCAAGATACCAAATTCAGTACAAAGCAGTACGAGGAAAGATTAATTACTTTAGCAAGAGGGTGTGTTGTAATGCACTTGTCTTTTTAAGGTAATCTGAAGCAGTGTGGAGATGTTGTAGGCTTCTGCACAAGAGTCTCATCCATCTGGTGTGTGAGTGTGAGGCTGTATCTAGGTGGTAGGGCCTGTGAACAGAACTCTGTTGCAGTACTGGACGTTGAAAATAATGTTCCGATGCCACTGGCTTGGCTTCTCATATTTTACTTTCTGTAGTCGTGTTGTGACGTGTTAGTATTTCAAATTGAATGAAGGGTGGGCCGATCCAGCAGGTGCATGAGGTCCCTGGGCCTCCGTCCCCTTCATTTTTACTCTGGATTATTGGGGCTTTCCCAAGTTATTCAGAGAACTGTTTGACTACCATGAAAACATAAAGTAAAAAGTATTATGGCATGATGAATTTTAAGAGCGTCGTGAATGCAGCATTTTAAACCAGACACTTAAAAACATCTGTTGCGTGAATAACCCTGTAGTATATCTAAATGATCTGATTAAATTTAATCATAAAGCTATTATCTACAAGAAAGAGCTATTCTGTTTTGTCGTTATGTGACGGCTATCCTGAGAGATCCCACCTTAGATGAAACTATTTTGTAAAAATGATGACCGGATAGTGCGCAAGTGGGTTAGGGACCAGGGAGATTGAGTTACAGTAGAGTGATCTTTCCTGAGGAAATTGCTCACAATTTGACCAGTACGTACAGTCCTTCCATAAGAGTTTGTTTTAAAAACAAAACAAAACAAAACAATTACTCAACTAGTTTTTTGGGGGGCCAGAGAGGCAAGTGAGTAGACGCGACACAGCCAGCAGGCTGAGCCGTGTTGGAAGCCACTTCCCCGCAGTGCTGCTCCACCTTTGTTGGTGGTTTAAGGATTGGTGGTTTGAGGATTGGTGGTAGGGTTTGGTCCGTTTAATTCTGTTGTGACTTTTATTTACAGGAAGTTCTTTTTTCTGAATCCTGGTGTCGTCACAGTTAATTATTTGTTCCTTTCAGGTTATGCTGCCTCCTGGAGCCCAGCATTCGGATGAAAACGGTGCTAAAGAAACGATCCTCGATGATGACGAGTGTCCTTTACAGATCTTCAGGGAGTGGCCAACTGACCGAGGTAAAGGGTAATTTTATTTGTTACAGAATCATTCATATGCTACATTACACCTCTGCCTGAGGTGTCAGCTGTGTGACACTGTCAGGGGTGCAGGAGAGCGGGCGTGGCTGTCTATGCCCTCCTCCCTAGACCTGCTGAATGGCTCCTGAGGGCCACACTCAGCCCACATGCATCGGGGGTGTGGGCCCCGAGCGGGCTGTCACGCTGTGGTAGGAGGAGCCGGAGTCCTGTCTGTGCTGACCAGGTGGGCGGATTGATTACAGGGGGGACTGTTACCTGCAGCCCCAAAGATTGTCAGTAATTCGGTCATCTCAGATAATAAACCAGACTTTTCACTGTTCAGTTTCTGCTGATTGTTTCAGAGCAGGAAGGTTGAAAGCTATGTTTTGATAAAGTCTCATTTTGCTCTCAGTTTCACGTGATAAGCTAACTGTCGTTGAGTGGAGGACCTTTGTGTAGTAAAGACATAAAGATTTATTGCCAATTCATCCTATCAGTGCTTGAATGTATGTTGGTAGTTTAAAAAGTACACTTGTGCTTAGTGCTTTCTTTAGACTGTTTAAAATTGAACTGTATTGGGGCGCCTGGGTGGCGCAGTCGGTTAAGCGTCCGACTTCAGCCAGGTCACGATCTCGCGGTCCGTGAGTTCGAGCCCCGCGTCAGGCTCTGGGCTGATGGCTCAGAGCCTGGAGCCTGCTTCCGATTCTGTGTCTCCTTCTCTCTCTGCCCCTCCCCCGTTCATGCTCTGTCTCTCTCTGTCCCAAAAATAAACAAACGTTGAAAAAAAAAAATTAAAAAAAAAAATTAAATTGAACTGTATTATAAAGTCAGATTGCTTTGAATTCTGAGTTAATTCAGTTGAATTAAATAAAAATCAGATCAACTAAAAACATTTTTGTGTGTATGTATTTGTGTATGTGTGGTGGTGTGTGTGTGTGTGTGTGTGTGTGTGTGTGTGTGTGTGTGTGTAAACTGATCATAGGGTTAGTTACCAATATAAGCATTCATTTATTCTTAAACTGATGCTCTGGTATTTTTCAAGCATGTAATATGCCTGGGTAGTCATTGATTTAAAATCTTTGTAGGGGCGCCTGGGTGGCTCAGTTGGTTAAGTGTTGACTGCAACTCAGGTCATGACCTCCTGGTTTGTGGGTTCGAGCCCCACGTCGGGCTCTGTGTGGACAGCTCGGAGCCTGAAGCCTGCTTCGGACTCTGTGTCTCCCTCTCTCTCTGCCCCTCCCCTGCTCATCGTGCTCGCTTGTTTGCACGCTCTCTCAAAAATAACATTGAAAATTAGAAAAATAATCTTTGCACACAGCTACCAGAGTTTTTCAGAATACGAGTGACTAATATTTCCTCCACTGAGTAAAAGTATAAATTGAGTAAACCTTCACTCGATCATTCCTTGAAAGATGTTATTAAGTTATATTTTCCTGATAAATCTTAGGGGAGTTGGCCATCGGTCACTCAGCCATCCTCGCCTGTTTGAGTCTGGTTGATGATTTACAACATTCTGTTCTAGGGGTTTTAGTCTTTCAGTTGAAGAGGAGGCCGCCAGACTACGTCCCGAAGAAAACGAAGAAACATGTCGATGGGAAGCTGGTGAAAGGGAAAGAGAGAGCCGAGGGTTCCGGCTACGGCTCAGCACTTCCGCCTGAGAAGTTGCCCTACCTGGTGGAGCTCAGCCCAGGTGAGAAGGATGATCGGTGCATGTTGTTTCAGCTTTAAATGTTTTACTTGTAAGGAATTGTATTTAAGTACTCTTTCGGTTGGCTGAAAACCTTTTTTAGACCATTTATTTTTTAAAAAGTTACTCTCATAAGGTGACATTTTTTAAAAAAATAACAAAACGACCCAGAACCTTGAGGTTATATGGGACATGTATGTTTACGCATAAAAATAAAGTTCACGTGGATAAAAATGAATATTGAAAAACAAAATTTAAAACCGTGAGTATGAGGTGTTTAAGGATAAATGATACACTTCTTTAGAAAATGTTTTTTCCAAAATAACCTTATAAAATACTTAGTCTCCTAAAAATGACAAACTGGAATGTACTCTTTGGGCAAATTTAATACAAGCAGGTACACGTGGGATACGTGTCCTGTTGAATGTGTGAACAGTGTGAGAAAGAGTACCTTTAAGTTGAACAGAACAGTAATCCATCTAGAAGAGGAAGGATATTTGGTTTTAGAATCCTGACAGACTGGGTTTCTTTTCATGTTAGTGCTCGGTTTCTTTTTAGAGCTCTTCTCTAAAGCTGTTGTAAATTAGCCTTAGAGGCGAAGAAATATATGAACATCCTTACAGAGGTGCTTTATACACGCATCTGGATGTAGAGTAAAATGTGCGTGTGTGTGATGTATGTAAATACACACACGACCTCTTGATCGTTCAGCTAAACTATTCAGCTAAACTATTTTTTATTCATTGGCTTAAAATGGCGGAGGGTCCCCCGTGTTCTGCAGTGCTTTGAAGAACAGAGATTGCGCGCTCGTGCCCAGGACTGCTTTCCGATAAAGCTCAATTAGTAATTACAGAAGAAGCTGCCGACGCAAGTGGCTGTGTAGGTCGTCTGCAGTTGCTCAGACAGGAATTCCGTCCTTCTCTTCTTGGGTTCTCGAGACGTGGTCCCGCAGCCGGCGGCACAGGCAGGCTCTGTGGACGCGGGAAAGTGGGGTTTGGGCCGATGCTCTGTAACTTCTGCTCGGTGGCGGTGTGCTTGTAAGCGGTAGTTTTTATACTTGTTATGTTTGAGGAATTATCAGAATCGGTGAGCTGTTTGTGAGGAATGTGTTAGTGTTGCTTTGTCCCTCGGTTCCCTGACCGAAAAGTTCATTTAAACTTGTCGCTGTGGTTTGGAGCCCTGGCCCGGTATTGCTGTGCGACCAGAGGGCGTGTGCACACGGTGGCCATCTGAGGCAGTGACGGCATCTGGGGGCCAGCCGATGTGTCGGAACTTAGAAGTTTCTAGGGTCATTGGGTCTGCTTTTTGAAAGTTTGCATTGCATGCTGGAAGCTAATGGTTTTCTCCAAACCTAAATTTTTGAGGATTCAGGAGTGTCTGTCTGGAGGGACCTGATAAAGAGCTGACATGGGGTAATTTTCAGAGGACAGTGGGAAGGGGGTTTGCATGGGGAGCAGAGCCGGGGCGAGCATTCATCCGTGCATCTGTCTCACCACGTGTCAGGCCCTCCCTGGTCAGGGCCTCCGAGGTAGAGCCACAGCAAGACAGATGAGACCTGCCGAGACCTGGGCCACTGACATTCTAGTGAGAACTGCTGTTTCCCCTGCTCATTTCATGTTTGTAGCCACCCTGTTAGACACAAAGGAGTTTTGTAGGCATGTGTGTGGGACGAGAATAGACCCTGCAGAGAAACCTTTCTCTAGATGTTGGCGCAGCGTGCGTGCGTGGGGTTCTTGGTCGCGTGTGTCCCTCCTTGCCGGCGCCCTGCTGCCTTTACCCACCTTGACGGAGCTTCTGCTCCAGGGAGGGCGAGGTACCAGAGCCGTCCCCGCCCTCAAGTGCCTCCCTGTGGTCTGACCTCCTTCCCCAGTGCCTCGGGCTGCCCGCCAGGTCGCCTCCCTCGCCCTTGTTCCACAAGAGCCTGTGATTCACATCGGCCACACGGTCGGTCCCCCGGGTAGACGAGAGCCGGGCCGAGGCCTTCCTCGCCGAAGCCATGCTGTGTTTTCTGGGCCATGCTGTTTTTGCAAGTTCATGTTTTTTGTTTTTTTTTAAATTTTTTTTTTAATGTTCATTTATTTTTGAGAGAGAGAATGCGAGTGGGTAGGGGCACAGAGAGATAGAGGGAGACACAGAATCCGAAGCAGGCTCCAGGCTCCGAGCTGCCAGCCCAGAGCCCGACGCGGGGCTCGAACTCATGAGCTGTGAGATCCATGACCTGAGCTGAAGGCAGACACTCAACCTGCTGAGCCCCCGGGGGCCCTGCAAGTTCGCGTTATTACTAGTTGAGCAGTCAGCATGCTGACTGAGGTGGATTTCGTTTCCATTTACGAGGAAATAATGCTGGTAAATGTGGGTTTGTCCTGAACAGATCAGTGTTGTATTTCCACCGGACGTGTTACCCACCAAGCACCTATCCACAAGGCGGGGCCCGGGCTCCGTGTTTCCGAGGTGTGGGTGTGTGCTCATACTGTCCTCACTGGCTTTTGCAGAGATGGAGGGGTGGTAAAAAGCCCTTTTATTCTTTGATTTGGATTTAAATATGTTCTTTTAACAGAAGGAATCCACCACATTGGGTGGCCGTCTTCTATGTGATGAACTAACCCTTGCTCTTCTGCTCAGTGACCTGATGTCTTGGTGTTTCCTTAACAGTGTGCATTGGTTTCTAACACACACGCTGCCTGGAGCGCTGTTGTCTTGTCCTCACAGCCCCGAAAACTGCGGGAGAAATGTGCTTTTCACCCTTTGAAAGGTGTCCTCCTACAGCTCACCCTCTCCTGTCTCTCTCCTCCTTCCCTCTTCACGTGCTCCGCGTGGCCTCTGTCCTGCCGGTGCTGCCTTCACCTGGGCCCCGTGCATGTGCGCCTAGTCCCAGGGAGAAGGAGTCACTTTGCCTACTACAGCTATCACACTTACGAAGGTAATGCTATGCTTCCTACTACTGCTGGGACTAGGGCGCTAGTGGACGTCTTGGGCAGAACAGTGTTACCTGACCAGACGTTTTCTGCAGGAGTTTTTGAATTGATACGAATAACTTGATGCTAAGAAATGGACTGTACTGTCACCTTATCCGGATCAGTAAGTGCTCCGTATGCAGCGTTCGCTTCGTTTAATACAGGCGTTTTTTATAGGAACGTCTGGTTCCGTTATTCGGGTTAAGTCTGCAGAGATTGCGGCCAAAGAAGGGCGGGAATGGTATTCCTATCCTTCCCCTCCTCTGCCCAGGCAGGTTAGGAAGCCGGGAGAAGCTGGGGGAGGAGGGGACAGGGCGGGAAGAGAGCGAGGGTGGTGGGTAAGAATGAGGCCCAGAGGAGCGGCAGGTGCCCTGCTGTCACGCACCCTGGCTGTGATGCCGGCGGGGAGGGCTGTCCCAGTCGGTGGTGTGTGTCTGACAACATTTGGGAGGCCGAAGGGGAAGAGAATCCACCCTCAGCTTATGTTACGACCACGTTATAGGACGTTTCCAGGATTAGCTCTGTTCTCCTGGTTGAAATCTGTTTCTTGTTAGCGAAGATGTACTTTCTTACGTAGAATTTCTCAAATTTGTGTGTGTCTTTGTGACGTTCCATAGTACAGGTAGTTTTTGGTTTTATGGAAATATTTCTTTTTTTGTTTTTATATTTTGAATGTTATTTTTTTACATGTTAATGTAACATTCTAATGCTCTCCCATGCTGTATAGAGTTTACCCACCTTTTAGCATCTTCTGTTTGTTGCATTTCCTCCAGACTGATTGTACACATTTTCATTGGTTATTAACCGAACTGGGAACTTCCGCATTTGTTCTTTTTAAAGAACATTTAAGCAAGTGATGTTTATCACCTGTTTTGATACTTCTACATGCATAGAGTCTAAGACCTGTTTTTACTGTGTGTTTTGTATTTTTTTATTCCTGGAAAGGATTCTTTAATGTTTTCATGTGTTTGTTAATTTCATACTGTAAAGTTATGGAGCACTAGGAAGGAGAAAACATTTCCTTTTTTTTTTTTTTTTTTTTTTAACCTGCTGTGTATAAAAAAAAAAAAGTATATACTCCTCAAGTTTGACCAGAGTGTTTCTAGTTTTCCATTTTTATTTAAGAAGAGCTAGTTTTTTGCTTTTCTAAATAGAGTTAGTGAAAATACACTCTAAGCTCTGTTTCAGTAAGCTTCAAAAATTTGATAGTTTCTTAACTATTGCATTGATTCACCAAAGTGTAAGTTGTGGGGATGTGAACGTACGTTCAGTTTCTCACCACCCCTGGGACACAAGAAACGTTCTGTGGCTCAGCCTTCTTTAAATGAACGCATCCCTCCCCCTTTTGTAAGTGGTATGGCAGACCATGTTTCGTACCAGAAACCAACTTCCAGAAGTTCACCCTGGGAAATGAGCAAAGGCAAAAGCAGAGCTGGAAGGGTAGAATTGTCATAGGGTAAGAACAAAAATGCTCTTTAAAAAATGGTCTTCTGTGTATAAGGGCTTGTTTTCTCTTAATGTTTAGGGTACTAGGAAAACTTTGGGTTATATCTCAAATTAAAAAAGGCAAAAGCAGAGAAACAAGATGCAGAACAGTGTGAATGGTAATTTAGGGGTAGCAGAGTTGACAAATAGAATTCAGGACATCCAGAGACTTGAATTTTAAGATAAAACCCCAGTGTTTGTGTGAATGGGGCCCAGCGATTGCCCATTTGACTAGATGACATGTATTTCATTTGTCAACCCTAAAGAGTGTTCTAATGTGTGTCCAGAAAAAAGAAAAAAATGTGTGTTGAGTTGCTTACTTGTATGTGCATAAAACAGATTTTCAAGATTTGCTTCTGGGTGGACAATTAGGCCGGGAAAAGAAGGCTGCTTTTCATTGTGTACTTTCTGTGCCTTTTGAATTTCAAACTACATGAATATTTTATATACTTTTGACTTTCTGTCAGGACAGTAAAACAACAACCTGCTAGAAGCACTGCTGTTGGAGGGAGAGTTACTTAGACTCGTCTGTGCTTTTAAAGGCGCTGCAGGTCTGTCCTGTGTGCGGAAGAGAGGTGCTCAGGCGGGAGTGAACGGTCTGTGGAGCACTGTTGAGTGAGCGGGGGGGAAATACAAGGGTTTGTTTCACGTACCACGTTTCCATGTTCGTTAACACCCATGAGATGGTCCCTGTCCTTTTACTAAGGACAGAGGAGTGAAATGTTCCAAAAAGAAAGATGTCCATCATTTGAAGATGACCTGCCTCCCCTGCCCGTACTCCCCAGCTCCGGCCAAACCCCACTGTATCCAGTGAGTTTGGTCGCTGCCATTTGGCTCACTCAGAATCCACCCCTGGAGGCCGTATCTGTGTTTTCCGTTACTGTGAAGTCGTAAGAACTGAGGAACCGGGGAAGAAGCTTCCCTCTGATCCATCAGTCGGGAGGTCTCCAGCACAGTGAGATGGGGGGGAGGGGCAAGAGGTCCGTACTTCCCCGCTGCTTTATACTTGCAACTCTGCTGGGATGTAGCAGAGCACAACCTGTCCACGTCTTAGCTCACAAGGTACCCCTCAGAAGCACTCAGAATGCAGAAGAATGTTCATGTCAAGTTTTTCTTTCACCCCCTAAACTGGTATTTTTCATGTTCTTGGTATTTTTTAACTTTGTATGGAAACCATTGTTCTTCATCATTTATTTGCTGCTTTTGCTTACTTTGTAATGCATTGGTGTAATTTCTGTGTGACCATATTGCATTATTGTCTTCATTTTCTGTCACTGATTGTTTCCTGTTAATAAACTAAATCTTTGTTGAATGTATACTGTGGAGCAGACACTGTACCAAATGCCAAGATACAGAGATTTAAAAAAGAGCCTCCAAGGAGCTCGGAGATGGGGTGGCAAGTAAATAAAACACTCGTGCACCAGGGAGAGCGGCAGGAAGATGAAGCGATCCGTGGTGCTGAGGAGGACGACGCACGCCACTTCCTGACCGGGACTATGTACTGGGACTGCCTGTGCTGTTTAAAGCCGGCAAAATCCCACACATTCCTAGGGGGCTTGGACTCTGCGGGTATGGAAGGGAACTGCCCGCGTCCAGGGGAAGCCCTGGATGGTTCCAGTGCCTCATTTTGGGTCAGGACTTGGAGTTGAAATAACTGTTTAAGGAAAAAAAAAAAAAAAATGCTCCAGGTGGCACCGCACATGATGAGAATATTCCAGCTGTGAAGCGTGGTAGATGATGAATTCTCATTCACATGAGATGTTGTGTCTCTCAGATACAGGTTATTTTCATCCAGATTTGACAGGTTTCTGAAATACGCCAGAAGGGGGAAATGTTATTGGAATGTTACTCTGTGTGTTCTGTGAAATTGACAACAGTGCTCATAGGACTTGTGCGCTCGCAGGGTCTTTGGTCTGCGGGAGCTCAGGCCGCACCACAGCTAAGAGACTTGAACAGTCTACACCCCGCGTGCGCTCCCAGTGTTTAATTTCGGAAGCGATTACCTCCTGATCCCAGCGACTAGAGATTGTGACTCGTGGCCCCGTAAGTGAGGCTGCAGGGTAGTAGCATGTCAGTGAAGTAGGTCAGGGAGGCTCCACTCAGCCTTTTAAGGACCTGGTGTAGGTTGATGGCCACGGCCTGGAGGCGGGTCAGGACTCACTGATCCTGTGAGGCCTGTTTCCTTGTACGTTCACAACTCTGAAATCTGAAGAAATCTTTGATCCATATCCTGCGTTGAGCACAGTAGGTGAGAAGTGAGTAAACATCTGGGTACAAGTGAACAGCTGTCTCGCTCTTCTCCCTTCTCCTCCCCCACGTCATCCCCGTCCCCAGCCCACCACAGAGATTCCTGCACAGGGAAATTAAAAAGATCTACAGTTCGCCGAGGTATAGAATGATTAGCCACCCACCCCCATCCCCAAGTTCCTGTGGAGCTAAGCACATTTGATGGTAGTTCTTACTGGAACTTAATGTCAGAAATGGGCATTGGCATCACCTAGGGAGATTCTTTGGAAGACGTATGCGTGGGCCTCCTCCCGAGATCTTGGTCCAAAAGGTCTGGATGAGCCATGAGGTGGTATGTTTAAAACCTCCACCAGTGACCCTGCTATACCCCGTCTGTGCACCTGGTGCCTGCCGTGTGCGGTCTGCATGGCAGGTTTGCTGGGAGCAGGATCTGGTCTGAAGGGAAGTCCGTATGTGTTGGTCATCTTTACCTAATAGCGTTGCTCTTCAGAATCGTTAACAAAAATCCAGGGCCGTGTGGCGGAGAGATTTCTTTTCATGTGGTAAGAAGATGATGGTTATAGATGATGATGTTGGCACCTTAGGTCACGTGAAACAGCTGATGTGTTTGTGTCTTAATGGGAAGTTTCTGTCTATCCACTTGAATTGCATGGCATAAATTTGGGGAGTTTTCTGATAAGAAATCCTGAGAATTGGGAGCTGTCGTTCATTCTAAAACAAGCTTTTGTTTGCTTTGTTGGCCTGTTTCAAATGACATGACAAGAACATTACACTTTACAAATGAAGTTCTGTACTTTTTCCTTTTGCAGATGGTTCTGACTCCAGGGACAAGCCCAAGCTTTACCGCCTTCAGTTGAGCGTTACTGAGGTCGGAACAGAGAAGTTCGAGGAGAACTCCATCCAGGTGCGCGGGTGGCCACAGGTCTAGCTCCCTCCGTAGCTCACACTTGGGTGGGCAAGGGCACGTAGCGCGGGGCCTGCCGCACGGCAGCGGATGAAGGAGTGGACGGAAAGGAAAGACTTTATCTTTTAACATAAAGAAATGCTCCAGTGTGAAGAGAGCAGGCTGTGAAATTAGGTCCCCTCTCCACCTCTGGAAACTTGATGTGGTCATCGTGCTCCTCTGAGACTGCTTTTCTCCAGAAGGTGGTGATGACTTCATGGGTCTTTGTCAGGATTAGAGGAGGTGGCCTGTGTGAGAGTCCTGTTGCTGGGACTGATGCCCGTAGCAGTGGGGGCTTCCTGAACGGTAGTTAAAATGTTAGCAGGATGTGGTTCTCAGGTACTTAATGAAAACAGCATGAAGTGTTCTTTAAAGAGGAAGTTCGGGTTCCTTACCTGATGGAGCTCAGCTGAAGTCTGGCAGACCGCCCTTTCTCCTGTGCTGCCCTTTGCCGACTGCAAATGATGGGTCCGGTCATTAGTGTCCTTTCCCGTTCTAACATCCCTCCTTCAGCATAGCGGTAAGACAGGTAAAGAGCGTGTGATCCTAACGATCTGTACAGATTATTATCTGATAGATGTTCCAGGTGGCCGTGTGCTTTTCAACTCCGTATGTCTTCAGTCAGGTCACTGGATGCTGAAATCAATGTGTGCAGTTTGACACCATTTTGACAGTGTTCACTTTTGTACTGTTGGGAGGAAATCCTCCGAAAAGTGCCAAAAGTTGTGTTTTCACGCACTGTGTCCTTTGTGACGGAGGTGCCTTTGGTTTTACCTTAGCTGTTTGGGTCAGGGATTCAGCCCCACCACTGCGACCTCACAAACATGGATGGCGTTGTCACCGTGACTCCGAGAAGCATGGACGCCGAGACGTACGTGGAAGGACGGCGCATCTCCGAGACAACCATGCTGCAGAGCGGGATGAGAGTGCAGTTTGGGGCGTCACACGTGTTCAAGTTTGTGGACCCCAGCCAGGACCACGCAGTGGCCAGGAGACCCGTGGATGGAGGCCTGACGGCCAAGGGCCCCAGACAGAAGCCCGGGTAATTCTATGTCGGCTGTGAGAGCTTCAGGGTGTCTGATTATGTGAGAAGTGATCAGAATTAGGCGTGCGTTATTAGAGGTGGTTTTATTTTTAGACATTCCAAGTGGGGTTTGTTCTTGTTGATGTGGGCTGGTTTGGGAGGAGGAAGAAAGAGGTCTTGACTTTATCTGAACATTGGAAGTTGGGGCTGGTTTTTAAATTATTTTCAGAGTTTGTCTTTTTGGCCGACACTTTACTCTTAGGAAGAACTGGTGGTATTCTCCGTGATGGTCCCGTGGAGCTACAACTTTTGTGGAGGTGTTTTTCTGCCCGCGTTAGTGAAACAGTGCGGCATTAGAAGTGTCTCAGCTCCACCTGGTGCCTTTCTGAGGACTTGCCACGTGGGCCTGTCACCAGAAAACAAAAGTCCCTACTGGCCATGTAGTAGAAGTTCCTGAGTGGGGAGGGAGTAGGACTTCATTAGGACACTGATCGTTTTTTATAAAGCAGGCGCTCTCTGTCTGGCTACTCTGTTATCCGTTCCGCAGGTTGCTAGGGCACGGGTCTTGGGAAAATAGCCACGTGGCCCTTCGAGCCCAATGGCTCGTGCCGTTGATGGCCACCAGAGAGCCTGCCGCAGGAGCCCTGCTCCAGGAGCGTGCCGGGAACAGGATGTGGGGCCAGGAACCGCGCGGGGCCGCTCTCTGCGCTGCCCGGCCCATTGTTTCCTTCTGGGGCCTGCCTTTGCTCAGCCCGCCGCTCAGAGCTCGCGTTGGGGGCCAGGTGCGAACTTGTAGCTGCTTGGAATTGTCTCTTGCCGGTTTCTCGGCTTTATAAAGCCTACCGCGATGGTGCCTGGTGGGTTACCAGTTCGTCCTGGGTCCTTGTGCAGTCCTGGCCAAGGAAGCGATCAGAGGCAGCTGGTGCCAGTAAAGACGTGACGTCCCTCTGCACGCTGACACTTTGGGGATCCTCACACACGTCCATGTGGGCAGATAAGGTGTGGGACATGTCACGGGCTGGTCGCCTCTCACTTTGAGCTCCCAGTTGCGACACGGGACCCATCCCTCGATCTCCGTTCCTAAGGAAAACCAACAAGGGCCTTCCCACTCAAAGTCCATTTCTGTCTGATGCTGTTCCAACTTTACGCTGAACGCGTGTCCAACCTCACCCTTCTGTTTCGCATCTGGGAGGAGCTTTTCTCTTCTTTTTTTAAGGTCCTGTTTATTTATCAGGCACATCTTCCTTTCCCGTCTGTGTCATGACCTATACGTAGCCTCTTTTCTTTCAGCACATAGTCGTGTTCAGATGGTTTTGTTTCATTTCCTTTCATTTTTCATTATTTTTAATGTTTTCCATTTTAGTCCTCAGCTTTTCTTCAGCTCTGCTTTCTTTCAGCACCAGAGACCGCTCTGCCTGCCTGAGGGTTTTCTTGCCACACTCATTCCAAAGACATGATCGTACGACGCGGTTTCTTCTGGTGTGTTCCATGTTGATTTTCAGCAGTTCCTGCGGTTACCCCCAGGTGTGCTTTGTCCCTGAGTCGCGGGTCCCGTGTCTGCTGGTGGCGGTGGTAACGGTCTGCATCTGCTGCTGAGCGTGGGCGCACCACCGCCGCGATGTCTTGCCCTGGGACGTCTTGCCCTGGGATGTTTTCCGTGGAGGGATCACTCCCGGCTGTTCTGCCGTAATGGTCCCTGCTTTGGGGGCCGACAGTCGTCTCCTTGTTGTGTCTCTGGCCAGAAGCAGAGGTCGTGTCAAGGACGTGGCTTAGGTCTCCTAGACAGGAATGTGCTGTGAAATTTTATGTTAATTATCATTACATCTTTTTCCTATCAACCTGGTGAAACTGCTCACTGGTTGAATATACCAGCGCTTACGTGTACATCCATAGAAGAGAAAGAAGTGTCATTTCTTTATAAACACATAATTTTGTTCTATTGTCCAACTGTTAGACACATTTCTAGATCGATAACCCAAGTATTTAATGTTTCACAGACGTGTGTGTGTGTGTGTTAACCGAGTTGTAATCGACATATATTAGTTTCAGGTGCACAGCATTCTGATGCGGTATAAGTGGGCACACAGCCTGGGAAGCGTCCGTTACCAGACCTGCGCACAGTTATTTGTACTTGTGATGAGAACTTTTAAGATTAACTCTCTTAGCAACTTGCAGACCTGCAGTACAGTAGTAACTATAGTTTCCATGCCGTACGTCTCGTCCCCAGGACTTCTATTTATTTCATAACGGAAGTTTCTACCTTTTACCCACTTCACCCACCTCCCAGCCTCTGCCTTTGGCAACTGCCAGTCTGTTCTGTGTCTATGAGCTTTTGTTTTTGTTTTCATCTTTTTACATTCCACATTAAGTGAGATATACGGTACTTGTTTTTCTCCGTCTGGCTTATTTTACTTAGTACAGTGCTCTTAGGGTCCATCCCTGTTGTGGCAAATGGCAAGCTGCTTTTTTCTGGCTGAGTAATACTTGTGTGTGTGTGTGTGTGTGT